GTATCGGGCTGCGCGTGGGGTCCCGTAGCGGGGCACATGGGGCTGGATGTGGGGCGGGGGGCTGAGTGGGGCCCTATGTAGGATGGGGCTCCTATAGGGGGCCGTATGGGGCTCTATATGGGGTGGGAGAGGCTCATCCTGCTCCCCACGGAGCCGCGTCCCGCTCCCGGCTCATCCTGCCCTTCCTTTCCCAGATTTCCTCTTCAAGTTCCTGGTGATTGGAAGTGCTGGCACAGGCAAGTCCTGCCTCCTGCACCAGTTCATCGAGAACAAGTGTGAGTTGTTTTCCCGACGGCCAGAAAACTCCCCGGAGCGGCTGCTCCGTAGGATTACGTTCCTCCCCTTTCCCCTCTTTGGATTTCCATGGATTTCCTATATCCTGTGCGGAGTAGGAATTCACTTGGGGCTGTTGCAGAGAGTGCAAAAAAGCTTCTCTTGGCTCTTTTGGACCTGTTTTTGTGCATCCAAACGGCGCGGGGCGAGGCGGGAAGCGCCGCCGCGTTCCCAGTTTTCCAAGCTCCACATCCCGCCCGCAGTCAAGCAGGATTCCAACCACACCATCGGCGTGGAGTTCGGCTCCAAGGTGGTCAACGTGGGTGGGAAGACGGTGAAGCTGCAGATCTGGGATACGGCCGGCCAGGAACGCTTCAGGTGGGAATGGCGCCGCAGGAGCCTCAGGAGCGGTGCTCCAAAAGCCCTGGGAATGATGCTCCAGGAACCTTGGGAATGGCGCCCCAAGAATCTCAGGAGTGGTGCCCCGGGAGCCTCCTTGCTCCTAGCCTTTGTCCTGTTCTCGGTTCTTGCGCCTTTCCCAAAGCTTCCAGGTGTCGGGAATCCCTGAGCGTTTCCCTTTGGGCCTCATAAAGCCCCCAGGATGCTCCGGGATGAGCACCCGGAGCTGGGATTTTATCCCGCCCGCGGCTTCCCCAAACCCGCCCTTTTCTGCCCCTTTCCAGGTCAGTGACGCGGAGCTACTACCGAGGGGCGGCCGGAGCACTGCTGGTCTACGACATCACCAGGTGGGTGTCTGATCCGGCCGGATCCGCCGGGATTCCCGCGGGCTTCCCCGGCATCCGCGCTGACTCCTGCCGCAGCCGGGAGAGCTACAACGCACTGGGCAAGTGGCTGGGGGACGCGCGGGCGCTCGCCAGCCCCAGCATCGTCATCATCCTGTGCGGGAACAAGCGGGATCTGGACACGGAGCGTGAGGTCACCTTCCTGGAGGCGTCACGCTTTGCCCAGGAGAACGGTGGGAATGGGCGGGAATGAGTGGGAATGGGTGGGAATGGGAGGAGCGCGGGGGCACCTTCTTGGAGGCTTTGCGCTTCACCCAGAGAACGGCGGGAATGGGTGGGAATGGGCAGGAATGAGTGGGAATGGGTGGGAATGGGCAGGAATGGGCCAGCGCGCGGGAGGGTTGGAGTGCGCTGGGCCGCCCCGCAGAGCTGCTCTTCCTGGAGACCAGCGCGCTGACGGGCGAGAACGTGGAGGAGGCCTTCCTGAAGTGCGCCCGGAGCATCCTGAGCCGGATCGAGGCCGGTGAGCGCGCCGGGCGCGATCCGGGTGCGATCCGGGTGCCAGCCGGGCTGGCGCCGTGCGTGGCGCAGCGGCGTTCCGGCCTCGCTCCGGCCTCACTCCGG